GGATAATTTGGAGATGACTGCTAGAGAATGGGAGGAATCAAGCACATGTTTGAACTGCCGTGATGCTCTTTATGATATGCCGTATGAGATGGTCGCCGAATTGCCATCCCTCAATAGCACGACTTCCACCGAAGGCGCACCGCGACCTGCACAACGTTCTGCATTTGGGGATGAAGTCAAGGACGTTGTAGCACACCGTTTACACTAGCGAAAGCCTTCCGTTGCTTGGGAGTAATTTCCGGCCAATGGAAAAAGCCATTCGAGTCAGCCGCAGTTTGCAGCCTTGTGACAGCAACCGTCACTTGTTCAGCAGCCGCTCGGTATGTCTGCGGAGAATTTTTCAATCTTGTCTGTACATGGGGTGAAGCTGAAAACGGTTCGAATTGACGAGAGCTGGTCGCAGGAAGCGAGGTGTTGTCTTGGCTTTGGGGGCCGAAGCAGTACACCGACGGGGCTGTTGTTCGGTTCACGGGATCCAGGAGAGGCTCAAATTTGCTTGAAGAAGTAGTGGCTCCAGGGATGTCAAGATTAACAGAGGATAGTAGAGCGGTGGGCTTCATGAGTAAGAGGAATGAAAGACAGACTCAAGCTGTTCGTATAATGCGTCAGGCAAGGAAGGACCGAAGATACAAAGGGAAGAGATCATCGTGATTGTTGCATGAGATCTTGCACGCACTGCTATCATTGCCAAGCAGCAATGTTCGTATCCCTTTCCGACTTCCCAAAGATATTGGGTATGAGCCCTGAGGGTGTTGTCATGCGATGAAATGAGGCTCCTGCTCCGGGAGTAGCGGCGACGTGGGCGGATTTTCGGTCGGAAAAAAAGACGAAGAAACCTTTAATCCGGTAGTATCGTCGCCTTGACGTACTGAAATGTACCGCATCCAAGTCTATGACTGTGTAATTAGTGTTAGAGTGCATGTTAGTCGCCCGCCTGTGGCAAGAGGTGAAGGTCCGTGCGATAGGCTAAGGAACTTCGGAAGGAAAGCACTATCGATACTCAAACACCAACAACCATGAGTTGCCACAATTGCGCCAGAACGACGCTGACCCTGTTCATCCGCTCTTTCGTAAACACCGAGCAAATCCTCGCTGCTCGACGACCGCTACTCCGTCCGCAACAATCGCGGTTCTCGACCGATGCGCGCCGACTACGCAAGGTAGGGCCTATAATACCCACCGCGGAACCACAAACAGCGGAACCGAAAGAGGCCGAGATAGAAGATGCTCTCACGGGAGAGTTTGGTCAGGAGAGAAGGCGCGAGCGTCCGGCTTGGGCTGTACAAAAGGAAGCGCTGAAAGAGAAGCTGGGAGGCGAGGCATGGAGCCCGCGCAAGAAGTTGTCGCCCGACACCATGGAAGGCATACGGCACCTACACAGTACACAACCCGATAAATTCACCACACCCGTCCTCGCGCAACACTTCAAAGTCTCGCCCGAAGCCATTCGCCGCATACTGAAGAGCAAGTGGCAACCCTCCGATGCAGAATACGAGGCCAGGATGGAGAGATGGAATAAACGTGGAGAGCGGATATGGTCCAATCTGGTAGAAATGGGTGTCAAGCCACCGAAGAAGTGGAGAGAGATGGGCGTAGGTCGGGCAGAGAATGGGGAGGCACCTAGGTGGAAGTCAAGAGATCGGAATCAGGTGGACGTTAGGGACAGCGTTCACGACGACTTCAAGGACTATGTTCCGGACGAGGAACTTATACCGACTGTGGGCAAGTCTGGAAGGTCGAAACCAACGACTAGTCGCGTACCACTGTTCGAGAGATTGTAATTATGGTATGGGGTAGGCTGTGATGGAATTTATGGTGCGGGATGTTGCCGCCCAGGCACAGAGATGCAGAATGCCACGTCTACTTCTCGATCTTTGATACAACTCTGTTCACAGATAGCGCGTCATATCTACCATAATAGAAGTATCTAGCAGAGAACCTAATATTGTGTTCAGCACCGTAATGCATTCCAGCGAACGACCCTATTCGAATCGTGCTAGGAGGTAGCGTCGAAGCCGCCGTCAGCTCGGAATCCAATTCGACATTGCTGTCATCTGATACTACACTCCCACGACGTCGTGGATTTAGCCTACCTGATCTCTCGCCGGCCTTATGACTGCCAAACAGAGCGTCGATGACGTGCTTCATGTCCGAAGGAAGGCCACCATGTACGAGGCGTGGATGACAACGCAAACTGGCCGCACATAAGGATCAAGCTGCTCAGACATGCTGTACATGAAGACTGAGCTGCGCAGGGATGCCGCATGTGGATTCACCCCCATGAGGTAGACGGAACGTTCCGGCTGCAACCAATTGATACCTCAAGAGACGTGGCTATGCATCAAGTCTCTTGTCATTGGGCTCCTACAGCATGCTCACTGCATTTGATAGGTGACATGATAAAACGTACACCGATTACGAGTCAATGCAGGGAAGGTGCAGGAAAACCCAAGGTGTCTGCTGCGAAAATGATGCTGATTGGTACTATGGAAGCATGGTGGCAACGGTAGATGCCTGTATTGTACGGCTGCGTGGGCTGTGCCTTTGCCAGGCGGGTAATATTCTCATTGTGGGCTCGTTAAGATCTCTGGAAGACACACTGTCATAGGTCAGGGTAGCCAAGACCGCAGTCGGTAAAAGTACTCCGGCCAGGGTTGCTCCGAACTGAACCAAGTTGGGGTGCTCAAGCTGCCGTCGTGTAGCCTAGGGCTGGTGGTGGACTGTGTGTGGCCGGGCGCCCATCGTGCCGCCCGCAGGTCGGGTCACGCGAAACCTCCAGCGCTGACGCCGTTGCATGGTTTAGACTATGGCATAGGGACCTTCTACACCGGATTCGTGGCCACGAACATATTATATATATACAGAAGACTAGTCTCACTGAACGACTTCTGTTTGCTCTGAACACAGTCACTTGGTCGCTCCTGATACCCTACAGTCGCGCCTTTTTCACCCCCTGAAGGCTTTGAAACATTGCTTCTCTAGGGCTATCTCTGATTCGTCCAACCCTGGGGTACTTTTTACCATCATCTTCGTTCCGCCTTAAGCGAGCTTCCTGCTAGTAACTACTTCCGCATTCGTCCAGGTTCACTCTACCTAGGTATACATATAAACTATACACCTCTCCATCTTTACACGACTATAATTCAACATTCGCTGCATCAGCATGGCACTAGAATTCTTGTCGATACTATTAATTCTTCTTTTCGCAGCGAAAGTGGACGCTGGCCCGCGGACTTTCATACTGCAACGTCAAGACCGCAATACATCCAATGAGAAAGCGTCGACCGGATTGTCCAACGAAGCCATCTTCACCCTGGTCGGCGTGTGCGTAGCTGTGGCCGGCATTCTGATCGGATTAGTCTCTTCGCCTAGACTACGGCAGTGGCTGTGCAAGCCATTCAAATGTGAGTGACACATTCGAGCCGCCTTCTATCTGAATCTGACATCAAACTTTCCTTAGACTTCTCGAAGACCAGACGCATGGAAAGATCACGACATCGTATGGATGCTAGACGACAGTTACAAGACGAATACAACGAATACCTTAGGTTCAATGATTTTCTGGAGTTGCGGGGAGGAATCACAAGCTCCAGTCAGCCTTGGTAGCATTCTATCATGTAGGAATCTAAAGAGGGGGTGTTGTAGTCGGAGGAGTTGCGCTTTCTTCCATGTCAGAACATCTATTTACGTCGTGTATTCACCAGCCAAGCATCATAGTACCACTAAAAGGAGCGAAGTGTGACCGAAGACACGCAGTTTCCTACACCTCGTACAACGTCTTTCGTACCAAAAAGCTTAAACAAGTGGACTTTCGCGCACCGCCACACATTCTATTGGGATAGAAGCCCAGCCACAGAGGAGGCCCTTTTCACTTTCACAACAAATATAGCTGTGTGTGTACGCGTACAAGTAATACATACATTCACACGGCTGATATAACAAGAAAGTTGTTCACTCACCTCCCTTTCCCCAAGACATTATTGCCTTGTCCCCGTTCATCTACTAAACATTGTTTGCTGTAGTTAGGACAATCAAAGCAACCACAAAGAGAAGGGTTCACAACTGCTCATTGCTAGTTAGTACAACTCTTCAACCACTACTCATCATGTCGTCTAACACCTCTACCGCACCTGCAGCACATTCTCACATCCAGTTTGGCGCTACTCCTCACCGAACACCTATACCGCGATACCCTTCTTCCTATCAACATAGCACTCGTTCCACTCACTCAGCTCACTCCACTCACTCAACCCGATCTGCAACTTCTCCAGCTGGAAACATGTCGCGGTCTTCAACATCAGCCAAACCAGCCCAAGACTTCACAGACATCCTGTCACAGCAGCAGCTGAAATCCATGTCTGATCTCGACAAAGAAGAAGAAGCGCGGCTGGCAAAGACACATCGTGCCAAGGCTGTGAAGATGGGTGTGGGGATTTGTCGGTGGGTTGGGAAGTTGGCTAGTACCAAGTCGAAGAATGAGGCTAGGGGAAAGAAGAACGAGGAGGCTAAGTAGAAGAGGAGGGGTCATAACAGCAGAATGGGGTACGGATGAGATGAAAGCGTTGACATGCACATGTCCACTATACGAACTTCGATTTTACAAGTCATATGTATATGTGAGAATGACTTTTATACTTCATGGATTGGGTGACTTTGCATCGCGAGATAGTTACGGCAAGAGCAGGTGTCAGGTTCTTTCCCAAAAAGACCTGCGTAGTATGTTGTACAGCGACCGTCCTTTTCGACAAAATAACCAGACAAGGAGATCATAACAAAAACAGGGTATGTGACGAAACCAGTACAGATTCAAGAAAACAATATGACTTCTTACTAAACCGAATATACACCGAAAGCAGAAAGGAAATACCTGCAACGACCGGGGAACTCGGGGTATATGTCGTAAAGTCATAAATTTGGTGGGCGCAATGCGAGCCCGTCATCTAGCAACATGACTGACAAGTAGCGACCGGTGTAGTCGTGACGTGTTTTCTTCATCTCTCCTAGTTCCACCTCGATCGCGGGTAATCATCGTCGTCGTACACCGATCGGGCCTGAGAGTCGAAAGATGCACCCATGCCATTGGTACCGCTTCGTTGGCGGGTGTGCCTCTTGTTGTCAGATTCCCGGCGGCGATGGGGATCATCTGCGGGATTGTGCATGTTGGACGCGTAGTAGTTGCTGGGAATGTCGCGCACCGTGGGATCAGACTGAGTGCCGAAGTTGGAGAAGCTTGGGCTTCGCGGCCGGACGTTCGGGCCACGAGGGGGAGGTGGCTGCTGGTGGTAGTGAGCGTCCGTAGGAGGAGGACCCCACGGTCCCTGACCGGCATTCGATTGCGCGCGTCGACGCTTCTCGTTGGCGGAAGTATCAGAGTAGGTGCTGGAGCTCATGTCTTCGGTATAGGATTTTCCGCCACCAGGAGCGGCTGAGTAAGGCTTGCGCTCCCGCTCGATAGGTACGGATGTAGACATTGGCTCATCTTCAAAGTCCATTGGCCTCACTTCGGGCCTCGAGGAATATGGACTACGTTCGCGTTCAAGACTGGGCCCTGGGGGAGGGGCTTGGGTCTTGGGCGGCGGCGGTGGGAAGGTAGGTGCCTTACGAAGCGGCCCAACACCCTCAGCGGACAAGGCTGCAGCGCATCTTTGCTGCGCGTGTAGGTTCTCGATGGTCGGGAACATCCTACGAGGAAGTTCTTTCGGGAACCGTTCCTTCCGATCGTCTGCGTTGCTGATCGGCATGTCCAAGATGGCCTTTACTAATCGTTCGTACTCTGTGTCGGGATATGCCTGGATCATGGTCGTCATCCATTCCTGGAAGCCTTCGGGAGTAAGCGCAGGGATGTAAGGCGCTTCTGCGGGATGTTCTTGGATGAGATGGTGCTGGCATCGCATGTCGCGGTATACTTTGGAAAGAGCGGAATACGAGAGGTCTCCAAAGATGGCTGCATATATTAGCATGTGTTGAGAGCATGAGCATGCGCCTGCTTACTTTGCCATGGATAGATTTCATCTTTGAGCTTGACCTCCTCATAGAACTTGAGCATCTTGGCCGGGGAGATGACTAGACTGTGCTTGGGTTCGTAGTCTTCGATCTATATTGTCGTTAGCGCATGATCTCTCCGTCATCCTGAATACGCACCAAGTGCAGAGCCAGTCCACGCAAGAGCTGGCCAAGGCGAGGCAAAGGCTGACCGTCTGGCTCGAACAGTCGCTGCCACATCTTCTCGATCGGGGTATAGTCTTCGGTCATCATCCTGGGCGCGGGGCCCGGTCGCGCAGATGGCCGTTCTCGCTCTACTGGTGCGCTTCGCTCAGGACGCGGGGTAGGCAGGTCGCTATTGCCATCCAGCAGTGGGTCGCGATACAAGGGGTCGCGCTCGGGAGACTGCTGGCTTGAGAAGTCGGTGCGTTTTGGAGATGGCGGGGTGTACACGTCTCGAGGCGGAATCGAGTTGGATGTCGACACTGGCGAGGGCGGGACCCATTGCTGCGGGGAGACGGGAATGTTTTGTGCTTGTGTAGCACCAGCCATGCCGCTTGATTTGATCTCGTCCAAGACGGACCTCTTCACTTGCTCCGTAATCTGAGCGATGAGATCTGGGTCGACGACCCGCGCAGCATCAGACTTGTCGAAGGCGTGTCCGATGGCATTCTTCAGTGGCTGCTGGATGGGCTGCGAGCCACTGTCGAAACTGCGGCGGTCCCAGGCGGGACTGGAGTCACGAGGCTGAGAGTCGGAGGCATTGGTGCCAGTGCGAGACTTGGGTCTCGTGCCATAGTCGGGGCTTCTCCCGCGGTCGTAGTATTGTTTGTCAAAGGGCGATACGTAGGAAGCGTGGTGAGGGTCGGGTTGGTCGCGGTAGGCCATGCTGGAGCCCAATGGCAGGCGCTCGGGAGCACCTGCAGTATGACGTTGCGAGTGAGAGTTGTCGAGTAGGCGACCGTTTGTGGAGCGCAGCGAATAGGTGCTGCTGCTATTGCAGAAATCCCATGCACGCGCGACAGTGACAGGTTGCTGGAGAAGACTAGCAAAATGGAGATGTGGGCACGGAAGAAAGAAGATGTTGGCAGAAAGGCTGTGGTGACAAACACGGCTCAGCCCGGTGGATTGCGGGCTTTTCGTTTTCTAAGGCAGCGATACCCTGGGCAGGGAGAGTGTGAGGAGGGCAACAAGCAGCAGGTCGGACAAGCGTGTCTTGAAGGGGGTTTGACTGGCTGTGAAAGGCCATGTTCTACGTGCAGTGCCGTCGACGTGCCGCACCGCAGGCTGGGTGCAGGGCGAGTGCTGCGTCATACTGTGGCCTGGGAATAGCAGGACGTCATCACGTCTATTTGCAGTCGACCCCAGCCGAGGGGCAGAGACGGGCAGGATCTTCAGGACAGGCAGAGGATCTTCAGGAGCAGAGGATTGGGGCATAGGATTGGGGGCACGATGAGCGCGGACTGGCGGTAATTATGTTTGTTTGGTTTAGTAGTCGTCATTTCTAGCGCACGTTGAGCGCGGTAGCGACAGCTGTCAGTGACGGCGATGTTCCGCTCGTTTGCATGCCTTTTGTTTCAACCACACGGTGCTGCCAGCTGCTGGCCACTGCGCGCAGGTCACGGCATGACAGTCAACCCATTCATCCCCGTGTACCTTATGAGAAACAGCGCAAAAGGGGTGCCGAGCCGGTGGCATGAGGACGCCTTATCAGACGGCCGGCTTATGCGCATCGGGGCGGTTACGGGCTCATACAAGAGGAGCCGAACATGTGTACTACAAATAAAGCAAGTTAAGATACTGCATTGATATTCGCGCTGTACGTGTCTATACTCTCGACTAGCATGAATAATAAATTCTTTTTGCTTTCTACTGTGTATTGTACATTGTAGTACTGTAGGTGATCTGTTCAAGTTCCCACAGTACGGTGCCGGTGGGGCGCGAGTGACGAGCAGTGAGGCGGCTGAAGTGAGACAGTGTGCGTGAGAACAGGCGCAGAACCAGTGAAGCAGCACAGCATGCGTAGGCGCCAGTTATCTTCATGTTGCCTGTCCACGCGTTGCAGCGGTCTGTAACGCGCCAGGCAGAGTCAGCAAACAGAAACACGAGGTCGAGCAGAATGGCAGATAGATGACAAGTGACAGGTACCGGGATGGATACAGGGCCTGCAACTATTTCCAGCTGGCGAGGCAGTCCCTGAACATCTTTGCGAGGCGGCCAAGATTATATTAAGTCGGTCTGCGGTGAGGCAGATGCGGGCTAGTCGCTAACGGCGCCGGAGCCCCATGCATACAAGCGCCCGCTGGCCCAACACGCGACGATGGACGGATACGTGCAAAGCAACGGGTGCATGAAGCTCAACACGCGTCTTTGATGAGGGCGCGGGAGGCTACTTGAGTGACTGTGGTGTGTCGCTGGGTGCGCTGATAGCGACAATGCCGTGTGGGCGCGCCGTCAGTGGCAGCGCCGAGTTGGGGCGCGTGCGATTGGCGGAGTGCCGTGACCCCAAACCCGCTAGCGTTTCAGGCTTGGAGCCATGGCAAAAGGTGTCTCCGCGCTCGCGCTGGCCCTCAGCAGACGACGGGATCATCCTCTGTTTCGAGCCCGCGTCTTGTTTCTGCCCTCGTCGACCTCTCCGAGCCAGCATCCCGGGCGCCCGTGTACGCCGCAATAAAGAAGCCCGAAACCCCCATTCCACAAAGACAAGGCCGTCCGCCCGCAACCCACCCCAACTCCACGACGCCGGCGACCCGCAGCCAACACCGCATCCTACCGCACCCTACATTCCGCAGCGCCCTCTGTTTACGACCCTCTTCTATCCTGGCACGCGTAGCAACCATAATGCATATATGAGATAGCGTGAACAGACCGACCGACCGACGTACGACAACCGCCCTACCTCCTACCTAATTAGTCTACCACTCTTGAACATCGAACACCCGCACACATGGCCATGCTCGCCGCAAAGTCTCCGTATCCCGCGCCCTCCATGAGTGGGAGTGCCTCGCAGTCGTCCGCCCAATACAACGGCGGCCTCTCCGGCTACCGCAGCCATGCCTCAAATACACGGGCCGAGCAGTCCATGTTTGCTTCTCCCACCGAGTCAGAGTTCTCGGAGATATACGACGCTCCCGACGCCATCAGGTGAGCCTCACAGCTGCCAGCCACATGTCCATCACTAACATGGACAGACATTGGGACGAGGACAAAGTTGGTGACTGGCTGAAGCGCATCAACTGCGCCCAGTATGTCGACCTCTTCAAGCGTATGTCACCAAGCCCATCATGCTAGCGACCACTGACATCCCCAGACAACCACATCAACGGCGAGAACCTCATGGAGATGGACCAGACCCATCTCAAGGACATGGGCATCAAGAAGGTCGGCGACCGCGTCCGCATCGGCTCGCAAGCAAAGCAGCTGCGCAACAAGGAGTACAAGAAAGCCTCAAGACGCACGTCAAATAGGCAATCGCTAGCCACGCTCGACAACGCCGCATACACTCCGCCATCCTCTGGCTCTCCCCGCCCGCTCTACTCTGCACGATCGAATCCTCCCGTTTCCAACTCGAACCCCGTCAGCTCGCGGACCGAGAAGCGCATGTCGAGACAGATCATGAACTCCGACCTGAGCAGCTTCGCATACGGTGCCAAACCTCCCTCGCGTCCCGCGTCTCCTCTCGTCGACCAAGAAACCCGGAACCTTCGGTCACAACGGCAGGGAGGAATGAACAGCCCCAAAGAGCTTGGCAACAAGACATACGGCGCGCATCCCCTCAGTGCTTCCAGCAGCTCCGTCAACATCGCGTCCCAGTTCTCGCGCAACCAACGCACTACACCCACCGAAACACCACAGACAGCCCGCTTCGCCCACCACGTTCGTGCGAGTCCTAGTGTGGACAGTGCCACCAACAGCGCCATCTTGCCACACGACAAGGCGCTAGTCCGTGTCATCTACGATGGCGGACGCACCTCAGTCGTGAACATCGAAGGCTGCAAGACGGCCGAGGAGGTCATGCTGAAGACCCTGACCAAGGGCCACCTCAACACAGCCCATGTCAAGAACTACTGCTTCTACATCCTCAACAGCCCAGAGCCGGACCCATCGCTATCTGAACGCTTGAGTGACATCGAGCTCTTCAGACTCGTCAAGGACGCCAACAGACACGAAAGAGGACGGTTGATACTTCGCAAGGTCCACGCTGGCGAGCCCGATGAGGACCAACTGAAGGCCGCCGCTGGCATCTACGCGCAACAGAACTTCCAGCAAAGCTCCACTGTCTACGTGCCGTCCAGCAATCGCAGCCAGATCAAGATTGAGAAGCTCACGGGCGAGTCCCTTGCTGCTGTCAGCTACCCTCTATCACCAACATCCGCGAGAGAACGAGAACGCCACATCAACTCAACAGCCCAGAATCTGGAAGGACCCTCTGATCCAAACAGGTCACCAGTCTTCCAAGCTCGTGCCCGGAAACTAAAGCAGTTCTACGGTGCTCGACCTCCCAGCGAGCTCATTACATCCGACCTGACCTCCTACTTCCCTGACGTCGGAAAAGATGAGATTGACAAGACCGTCCGCATGTCGATACGTCGCTCTCACCGACTCAGCCGCGCAGCCTCGCGTCTATCGATGGCATCCAACTTCAGCGTTGCTTCCAGCCTGAAGGATGCGCCGCCACTACCATCCATCGCCGACACTTGGCTCCAAGGTGGTGCTCAAGCCCGCCCACTTCGCCCACTTTCGGTCATGCGACTTGGTCTGCCCAACCAATCTGGGTACCGTGACTCTATGGCATCTTCTGTTCTGGAACCTCTAGACGAGGAGTCACCTCTCGAACCCAACCGAAAATCATATGTGTCGTTTGGTGGTGAATCGGATACCCTTGCCATTACAGACCCGGAGGGCAACACCACTCTACAATCCTACTTCGACGACGGGGGTAGCAGCCTTACGGGTAGCAGTAGCAGCAACACCGAGAACGGCGACTCACTCAACAAACGCCTTTCTGAGGCCATTGCTGAGGATGGCGAAGAGTCAGACGATGAACTGGCCGAGTATCTCGAACAGGACTCCTGGGACAACGTCAAGTACATGAAGGGAGCTCTCATCGGACAAGGTTCTTTCGGCAGCGTTTACCTTGCCCTACATGCCGTCACCGGTGAGCTCATGGCCGTCAAGCAGGTCGAGCTTCCTTCTGTAGCTGGCGCCTCCCAGATGGACAGCAGGAAGACAAACATGGTGGAAGCCCTGAAACACGAGATCGGCCTGCTACGAGAACTCAAGCACAAGAACATCGTGCAGTACCTTGGCTCCAACTCAGATGAGAGCCATCTCAACATTTTCCTCGAGTACGTCCCAGGTGGTTCCGTGGCAACCATGCTGGTGAACTACGGCCCGCTCGGCGAATCCCTCATCCAGAACTTCGTACGCCAGATTCTGACCGGTCTTTCGTACCTTCACTCCCGGGATATCATCCATCGCGACATCAAGGGTGCAAACATCCTCGTCGACAACAAGGGCTCAGTCAAGATTTCCGACTTCGGTATCTCCAAGCGCATTGAAGCCTCTACACTGGGTGGCGGCAAGAAGGGAGCTCAGCGCGTCTCCCTTCAAGGTTCAGTCTTCTGGATGGCACCAGAAGTCGTTCGACAGACAGCCTACACCCGCAAAGCCGATATCTGGTCGCTCGGCTGCCTGGTTGTCGAGATGTTTACGGGAAGCCACCCGCATCCCAACTGCACTCAACTGCAAGCCATCTTTAAGATCGGTGGTAGTGGTGATGCCAGCCCTACCATTCCAGACAACGCTGGCGACGATGCTCGAACCTTCCTGGCCCAGACCTTCCTCATCGATCACGAGAAGCGTCCCAGTGCTGACGAGCTTCTCGCCAGCCATTTCATAACTAATCAGGGTGCATAAATTTTCACATACGGCGCACAACATATTTCTAGCATGGAACGGAGAAGCATCATTGGGAATTTCGTGGTATATCCTGATCATCTAGTGGTCCCCAAGGTGTTCTGTCCTTTGGGAGTTTTTCCCTTTCTAACGCCCTTAACGCTTACATGCGCGAATGATTCTGTACTATACCACTTTTCGATACGCTTTTCTAGTAGAAGGAAAGGGAGGTGCTACGCAGCATGTGCATACGCTGCTGAACTTTTAATGGGTGCTTTGGATGGGGCGCAGACAGTTTGTACTATAGCTGTCTATTAGATCTATCTCGACCCCTTCACAACCACTATCTTCGTATACATATCAAACATTGCTCTAATCCAACGAGTTTGTCTCGACCCCACGTGCTGGCCACGATGACGCGCCTTCCACAATAAAGTTCAGTGGCTGAAGCTGCCACAGTCGCATCACCACAAGCTCTACCCCACTGTCCCAGACTCCATACACACAGGAACGCAAAATCCAAACCACCGACTGTATCACCAGGGAAAAAAACTTGTAGATCGACTGCACGCCTTGCTACATCCCAATCTCCGACCTAATCCACTTCTTATACGCCTAGCTTACTCATATGTGCAGCAACGGAACTTCGGACGTCTTGGCTCAACCCCACATCCGCGCTCACATGCATCCCGCCTGACGTAGTCTAGTCTGGTCCCTCGTTCCCAATCCACTTACAGCTTTGCCCCCCAATCGCGGGTGCGGGGTAAACTTCAGCTACGTGTGGTCACGCGTTTTAGCTGTTTGCCTCGGCTTCGGTTCTTTAGGTAGTTACCTTGGGTTTGTGGATACTTCGTGCTGACGCGTGTGTTTATCGTGAGGTACAGCTGGGCATGGATGGCGGTCCGAATGTGACAAGAGTGTTATTGGTCCGGTAGATGGGTGAGGTAGTTTGTGGGTGAGGGTTGTGCACTTTTTCCGTGTGCGTAACTTCGTATCTATTGTGTTGGAAGGCCGTAGACGGGGCTGGTGTGGGGTAGAGATAGGGTCGTTAGCTAAGGGAGAGTCAGGGTAGCTCGACGCGTTATGGAGCTTGGGTGTTGGTGCGGGGAAAGGTATATGTACTGGAGGTGTCTCTCGGGTTGCTTCAATCCGTCTTCAATTAACCCATCCTGACTGCTCCTTCCCCCTCCCCGAAGCGTCTCGTCCGAACTGTCTCTACATCGAGTGGTACACTACATCAACCGTCCAACATGTCCCTTCCCTCCAAATATAAAGCCGCCATCTACGATGCGCCCGGCTCTATCTCCACCAAAATCGTCGATCTCGACATGCCCGAGCCCGGCGCCGGCGAAGTCTTGATCAATCTCACACACTCTGGTGTCTGCCATTCCGATCTAGGCGTTATGATGAACTCGTGGAAAACATTACCTTTCCCCACACAAGCCGGACAAGTCGGTGGTCACGAGGGCGTAGGCAAGATCGTAAAGATGGGACCTGGAACCGAGAACTCGGCAGTCAAGATGGGAGATCGTGTGGGTATCAAATGGATGGCGGGTATTTGTGAGACATGCGAGGCTTGTAGGGCGGGTATGGACGCTTCGTGTTTCTCAGGAGTAAGTTTTACCTATACCTATGACCAACTTCTGGACTGCGATCACTAATTCGGGTAAACAGAAAGTATCAGGATACTACACACCAGGAACCTTCCAACAATACGTCCTCTCCCCCGCAAACTACGTCACGCCCATCCCCGCCGACCTCGACTCCGCAGCCGCGGCACCGCTTCTCTGCGCAGGTGTGACCGTCTACTCCGCGCTCCGCAAGACAAACGCCGAGTCAGGTGCTTGGGTCGTGATATCGGGTGCCGGAGGCGGACTAGGTCACTTGGCCGTGCAATTCAGTGCCAGGGGAATTGGCCACCGCGTTATCGGCATCGACCACTCTTCCAAGAAAGACATCGTCATGGAAAGCGGCGCTGAGCACTTCATCCCCGTAGACGGAACAGAGAACATGGTCGAAGCCGTTCAAGCACTGACAAACGGTCTCGGCGCTCACTCCGTCGTCGTCTGCACAGCGAACAACATGGCCTACGCTCAATCCGTAGACCTACTTCGTTTCGGCGGCCGCGTGGTATGTGTCGGTATCCCTGAGGGCGACGTCGTACCCATCAAGAGCGCGAACCCTGGTGTCATGGTCGCCAAGGCGCTGCAGATCGTTGGTTCTGCGGTAGGATCAAGGAAGGAGGCGATCGAGACGATGGAGTTTGCCGCGAGGGGTATTGTTAAGACGCATTTCAGGACGGAGAAGATGGATAAACTTTCGGATATCTTCAATGAGATGCATGCGGGCAAGCTGCAGGGTAGGGTTGTGTTGGATATGACGGCATAGGGTGGACGATTGGATTCTTGTTGAGAGAATCGGAAATATACGGCAGTATCATTGAATGTCATCAACTTCACGAACTGCTCAACTGCTCGTGTTCGGTAGTAGCTTTTGTAACACCTGTATCTCCCTTCTAGCGTCTAACAGTTGAACTTATTAGCCTCGGAATATGGCCATCTATTCATCTTCCTAGATTATCCCAGTGGGATACATGAAGCAGTGTACCACGCCCGTTGAGCACCTCAATCTATCCTGCGTGCACGGGCTGCAGCCACACTCATTGAAGTATTTGAATGTAAAGCCGTGCTGCCAGCTTATGTTCGCTTCAGAGACCAGTATCGGTGCGTTGAACAGATCATGGAGCGCGGACGCTGCCATTAGGCCGTCGCAGAACGCGTGTTGTTGTTGTTTGGACTAGCTGAAGTCAGCGTCCTGTTAAAAGGCATGGTCAGAGCAGCACAACATACCTGCACCGTGTCTCGTCTGTCCCTCTCAAGATATTCCGTCCAGTCTTCTCCACCTCCTGTGCTGGACCTTTCATACCGTACCTTGATGTCTGCGCCACCATCCCTCGCACGACGGTATACCGATCCCATCATCTCATACAGATTACGTTTGATACTGGGTTCATGCAGTATTCCTCCAGGGCCTGCTGTGGGAGCAAGGAAGCAAAGCTCCAGCCTAACAGTATGATTTGTGTAATTGAGCGTCTCCAACCCTTCTAGGCGATCAAGATACATCGCGCATGTTGACGGTACGTCGAGTGTGACATATTCTGAATAGCTTGCTAGTTGAGCTCTGTCCGCACCCGCTGCAATGTCTTCGGCTTCGTGAAAGGCGGCGTTGCTGCGAAGGTACACACGTAGATGGCGGACAAGATCGCGGAAGTATACCCCCGGCCGGATCTCGGTATTCAGTAGCTGTCTAACGTTTAGATTGGTTCTGGAGCCGCGGAAGTAGAAGGGCGTTTTGCGAAGCGCTAGGTTCTGGAATTCAGTACTGGTTGGTGAACCCATCACAGCAACGGAGAAGCAGTAGTCCTGCATGAACGGATTGAGCTCTTCGCGCGTGGCTTTCGCATGCTCGCTCGCTCCAGCGCTGCCAGGTTGCAATCTTCCGTTCACGATCTCGACCTTGGGATGTTCCAGTCTTGGGATGACTATCGGCTTGCTGATGTCGAAGACATGCTCGTAAATATTCTCACGGACCTCCAGCGGAAGCAAAGCGTGAATCTCGCTGAGGAGCGGCGCGAGAAGCTGACCGGAGCATTGTTCAAGGTCGGCCTTGATTTGACTTGGCGGTATCAGCGACCACTTCTACGACCATAGACAAACCAGACTCACTTCGTGAAGACGCCTTTCCAATCTTGCAGCACGTTGAGCTTTTCCGATCTGGTGATGCGGGGGACCTTGATTTCATCGGCGATCCTGAGAGGTCAGTGGTAAGCCTTTGAGACAGGCTAAGGCCCATACCGCTCTTGAATTTGCTTGAGCAATCTGCTCTTCCTGAGTCTAGTCAGTAGCGTGTCTAGAAATTGCAATACGGTTGATATACTTCAGGATCGTGCGCTGCCATTGCTCTGTGCACTGGTTGGCATCCATATCTCGCTAAATGTCAATCTCCCGCCGTTGGATCTAGAGCGATCGCTAGCGTTAGTAGCGCTGGGTTGCGAAAGAAGAGATGAAGATTCAAACTTTTTCGACATCACGATGATTCTGGATCAGATACGCGGTCTCCGTTACTAGCGCAGAATACAAAGAGGGGTTCCAGCTCTGTGCGCAACGTTACACAGCGTGTAGCGTGTTGTCTTCCTCCAATAGACTATGTGTTGACTACCCGAAATGTGGGAGCGGAATACAAGACTCTCTATGCCAACCTTTGAATGTTAGCAGCCTTGACACGTTCTCACACTATCAAAGCCAGCAAGTACGACCTCCAAGCAACGGGTCGCTACGACATATAAGCGGTTGGATTGATGCCCTCTTATCTCCTTACGCGTTACAAGGCCAAGCTGACAGAAGATCTGAGAAAGGTTCCGATGATACGAGCCGAAACCACCGTCACGGATGTGACCGGCAATCAAACGATACGCAACAGGGTCGCAATCACGGACCCTCGATCATGTGCGGACTAAGAGTTGATCGGGGCACTAGATGTGCGATGTCGAAGTCCGTGTGGGCCGTAGTGTGTATCACCGCGCCGGACGCCCACTCCTATTCGCATGCGCACGCCTTACACGAAGGGTCTGGAGGGGCCAGGTTTCTCCAGAGGTCTCTGATCATTCCGCTTCGGTTGAAGATATTCTGTGTAGCCAACAGCCTCACCCTGGTAAGGCCAGCACAGCTCCTTGCAGTGCGACGTCAGCGACGTCAGCGACGTCATGGTCACAGCTAGAGCGAACCTTGGATCACCGCTAGTCGTCCAAGGACCAGGCAGATGCAAATGATCAGTGATGTTGGGGTCGAGAAGCTGAAACGAGATGGAGTTCGATGCACGGTGCCGTGGGGTTTCGACATACATGAGGTGTGCCTGGTGCATCAATAAGGCGCAGTGCTTATAGAGTAGTTCGAGGCGGACGTCGTGTCCGGCACAATGGCCCCAAATTAGTGCGGCACCAGGGCTGAGCAAGCAGTCGCGCCGCAAATAGCACGGCCCCAGCGCCAAAACACAACAACCTTGGATGTCTCTGATTGCTCCCCACTGCTATGCCTCACTACAACGCATCCTTGTGATAACGTTTATTGCGCAATGAGGAGCCGTACATGTCCCGGGGGCGTGCGTCATTGGGTTTTCGCCCGCCTGCCCACCCATGCTGTCCTGTCCGCCCACTCGGAGTTGGCCTCCATCTCATCTCACTCAGCTCAGCTTTCGCCGGGCGCTGCATGCATCTTCTGTGCGGAACGCCACGGCCGGGCTATTCATGGAGCTCGGTGGTGTCTAGCAGTGCCTTAGGTTATGATTATCTTGGCTTCGGACGATATACAGTCCATGCCCTGCCACCATGCCCGAGTCACGGCTTCGATGGGAGATCCCTTATCCAACTACTCACCCTCAGCAACTCCAGACTGCTACTCGTACATTTTCTGCAGCCTAATACGTCACTAATCGACCCGCTCAAGCCCACCTGCCCATGTTGACACATTGCTCTGAGTGATCAGCCTCACCTGGCGCACTGAAGAGAAGGATGTCAGCTTTACTTAAGCTAAAGCCGAAAAAGTCAGCTACCATCTTACGCGCAGTTCCAGAAAGTACTAAAGACGATGCGGCTCTCCCCTCTCACAATCACAACACAGCGACCGAGGGTCGCAGGGACGGCAATGACGGCAACCGACCGTCGTCAGCAGGTTTGACCGTACCGTTGCCTTCAAGATCAACATCTATCTGGGGTAGGAGACGGAAGAGCATTGCTTCGGCAGTGGTCGCAACGGGAGCCAGTAATACTGCAGGTGGACTGTCGGCATCAAGCCACGCATCGCTTGTAGGCACCATCGGCACATATAAGCACGGCAAAATCCAATGGCGAAAGAAGAATCGCAAAACGGTCACTAAGCACAAGAAGAACATTCCGAGCGGGGCCAGACATCCGGCTGCGAAGCCTAAGATACAAGTGGTAATCCCTTGTGGAAAGCCACTGCCCGCTCTTCCATTCCTCGAAACGGGCCCTACCGATCTCGAAAGCCACCACGAGGTCTCGCCTCCGTCAGCAAGCCACCATCGCATACGAGATTCCATTGTATCTCCACTTGCGCATCCGCAAACACAGCACACAATCCGCCAAACCGCTCCAGTGAATACGCGATACACACCGAACCAATTCAAGAGTAGCTTCGAGTCTAACAGTTCGTGTAACGAGTCGCAAGATAGCGATGCTTCATCACTGCACAGCAACCACTCTTCAGAGACTAGCGTGGAGGTCGATAAATCTCCGACACAAGGAAGCACCTGCCAACCTTCAGCGCATCTTCCGAGTGGCCAGACCCTGGCGCCTAGAGGTACTCTACATGCTCGCTCTGAGCTCACCCTATCTTTCAACGGGAGCCAATCCCATGCACCGCCGTCGATAGCGCCCCGAGAATACATCCACCCGTCCTCTAGCGATGAGAATCTCCCCTTCCAACCAACTTGTGCTCTCCATGTAGCTCAGAGCAAGCCACGATTGAACCGAAGGTCCTCAAAGCGGAGCGGTCCGCGGCAGAACTTAGCCGCGGATGCAAGTATGGGCATGATCAACGAGGCGAAACCCTCAGGAACTGAAGCGTTTCCAATCCCTCCACGTGCGTCCAGCCCTACGTTGAGCGAGGCTGAGTTCGACCTGCACGCTCAACTGGCTTCTTCGTTTGGCAGCAACAGCGATCCTCGCATGCTTGCCCAGGATGGGACGCCCCTTGCAGAACGCAACCCTTCCTGGAGGGGCATGCGTCAGGCGTCAGCTGGAGACGGGAAGCTTATTGATACTACAGGCCAGCCCCGAAGAGATTTCGCTAATGCTGTACTGCCTGATAATCCTCCTCCGGCTGTCCCGCGTAAATCCAGCAGGCGGCGATTGGCAGCCAGGACGACTGTTGAAGTCAACCGTCTACCGCGAGACCATATCGCTTCACAGCTGAAGCGAAAGTCCTTTCGCACGAGCAGAACATTGACACTTATGATTCCGCAATACAAGCGTTCCAGTGTGGACCTGGTGTTTTCTCCGCGAGCTGTTTCTACCAAAACCACCAAACCACCCATTACGTCTGACGGAGCTGAGAAAGTCATACTCAACATCTTCCAACATCTAGATCACTTCAACGATCTTTTCGCCGCAGCCTCCATCAACCGAGGCTTCTATCGTGTGTTCAAACGTCATGAACTCGATCTCATCAAATCTACCTTGCAAAAGATGTCACCACCAGCCTGGGAGTTTAGAGAGATCGCCTTTCCTGGACACGAACTTCTACTTGCAGCAGACCTTGAGACGACACGACCTGCAGAGGAGTACACCCCAACTTCATATCTCAAGCTCCAGAAGCGAGACATCCAAGTCATCCGCACAATCAAGTTGGAGATTATGGAGAAATGCCAGTCCTTCGTACGACCAGAGATATCAGCTGCGCTCATGAGCGCCTGCCCAGCCGAGTCTGCTAGGGTTGACGATGCGTTATGGCGCATATGGACATTCTGTAAGCTATTTGGCTCGGGAAAAGGACGTGAGGAGGACATTGTTGCGCAGATGGACTGGCTCAATGGTGGTATGCTTGTCCATCAGGCGACCTGCACCTTCAGCATGATGAGCACAGACCTCATGAGCGACACATTGGTCGGTGCACCTGAGTGCTTCGGGCAAGGGAACGAAGGCGGCCTTACCGCCGAGCAACTCTTCGACATGATGGAACTATGGACCTGTCTTTCCGTCCTGCTACAAAACTTCGAAGGGCGCACAGTTCAAGCCCGACAAGCCGGTATTTACGACAACACCGACATTCGTGGTGGCGATATTGATGGCGAGGAGATGATGCTTGGTTCGTCTATCCGCTGCATAATCATGGATCTTGCTAACCAGACCAGACGAATGGATCTACCACCTCCTCACCTTTGGCCTTGATACTGTTCTCAAGCTCACTGGCCCGTTCCACCCCTCGGATCCCAAAGCCTTTGTTATTGCGGCGGAGAACGGATGGGTCAACTGGAAGCCTCCTGTGCTTGACGGTACACGACAATACTTCCTCAAAGAAGCAGCCCGACGCGTCTACGAAGACAAGATTGCGCATACCTATGCTAAGATCTCAATCCGCGACGTGCAGCGCCAACAGTCCAAGATACGTATTCAGAAACACATTGACGAACTCAAGGATCGCAAAAGGAATGGTGAGCAACGACCAATGGTTCTCAGGGAAAGACCCATGTCAGACTGGGATACTGTGATTCGAAACTTGACACGCCCTCCTCTACCACCACAAGGCCCGGGAAAGGACATCATCACTCATGTTCCGGCACTGAGATCATCTTCTGTGGAAGACATACCGACATCTGTGCCTCTTCCTAGATCGAGGTCGACATCCAGCAGAACAGCTTCACCACCTCGGCGAACTGTGGCTCAGCCTTTGCTCCCATCACCGCCCCCCTCCACAGTTCCTAGTAACCATGATCGACATAGCATTTCGTCAATCCTAGCACCTATCAGGGAACGGACACCCTCACCGCCACGTCGAACGGTTGCTCAGCCCCTTCTACCATCTCCCTCGGTCACAACAGTCCAGAGCAACCGCGATCTATACACCATGGGCAGTGTATCAAGCGCAAGCTCTCCACCCCGCCGCATGTTTGCTCAGCCGCTTCTGCCGACACCCTCCGCTTCCACGGCGACAAACAGTCGTGATTGGCATCGCTACAGCACAGGCACATCTATGCCTTCTATCCTCGAGGATCCATTACATCATCCTCTGTCCGAACCACCCGGACCGCCTCACCCCGCATTCCGCCCTCATCCCATGTCAATGCCTTACCGTGGCCGCCACATGCGTCAGAGTAGTAGTCAGTCATCTGCCGGAAGCTCCACTCCCAGAGGTGGAGCCCTCCAACAGCACGAACAACAACACCACATCTATGGATCTCGGAGTCATGAGAACACGGCCGATAAGGCCATATGGCGGATTGTCGAGATGGGTTTCACAGCCGAGCAGGCCCGAGAGGCGCTAAGGTTAACCGATCTGGGAGACGGACTGAGGGTCGACCGAGCGGTGGAATTGCTGCTTAGTCGGCAGACATGAATGAGCTGGTGTTTGCAGAGTCGGAAGGATTCCGCTCGAGACAGATAATTTCCTTTTGTGGTAGGCGTTGCGATTTTGTCCTTCATTACAGCGCGTGCAAGATACCCCATCCTTTCGTTTGTGCATCTTATCATCAACAGTCTACAGTCGTTCAATGTATATTTTTACCTTTGCAGAACGGTCGGCGACCACAACCCACTTTGACATTATCATCTAACGGAATTCAACGGTTGAAGCCGCTGATGAGTCGTGGAAATTACCCGAAAGGGGACGGGACGGTATCCAATTTTAATTTCGCGGCCCCTCGACCCCAACGCTAATTCGGGATGACCCTAGCTCGATGGTTTGCCTTATTCGCATCACGATCAGGCAGTGCAAGGAAAGAAGTGGGAGCTTCGTTCGTGTATTTCCGCTCAGATCGCTCCTCAGACTCTTCTCTTCCCGCTTCTCTCCACTCGACTTTCCATCTGTCGACAGCGACAAAAAACAAACCTTTGCGGAGTACAGTCCGCATACTCGATGCCCGGCATGTTGTCGCAAGCGTCGATATCTGCAACATTTCTCCTCCTCCTAGCGTCGCTCCCGTCCAGCACGCCCACCTGCTTCCTCCCCAACGGCACCGCGCACCAGGACGAAGGAACTTCGCGCTGTTCCTCCATATCTGGCTCCCCACTCTACAACACATGCTGCCAGACGCAATGGCCGAATCCACCGGGCGGCGATGTTATAAACGGCCCTACGGCGGATGAATGCATGCCGAACGGGCTGTGTCAGAACAGAGGCTTCAGCAGCGCACCTGGCCAAGAGGCAGAGCCGTGGACGCACTTCTACCGGGTTTACTGTGCGAATGCGAACTGGGAGGGTTGCTTGGATGTCTGCAGAGACGGGGTATGTTGCTTTTCCCCGTTTGTGGCTATGCATGTGGCTGGGTGCAAAGTTTCAGAGAGCTAACAAGCGACTAGAATCTAGCAGACTCCGTCTCACAATTGACGCCTTGCGACGGAACAGCCAAATCAGAGTACTGGTGTTGTGGAGACAGCGACGCGTGCTGTTCGGCCTCTGCTGATGCGCTCGTCTCGAAAAGAATCAGGATTCCGAAGGAACTTGGAGGCGAGCAAGTAGCTTCTGCGAGTGCGGGGCTGGCATCGCCAAGTGCTGGACCGGCTTCCTCACGTGTGGGCACAACTTCTGCGACCGGGAGCACGATAACTAGGAGTGCAGCACCGGTAGCGACGGGGACGGGGACGGGCGAGGAACCCACGCCATCGTCCGACGCAGCGAACCTATCTGGCCAGAACGGAGAGAAGCAAGATGAGGGCAAATCGAACTCGGGACGCAACATTGGTATCGGCGTAGGTGTCGGCGCTGGTGTGGGAGCTCTGCTAGGTATTGCAGTGACCATTCTACTGCGAAGACGGAAGTCAAAGCAGAAGACTCGTGAGATTGAAAACGAGATTGCGGAAGAGAGGCAGAAGCAGGATTTAGCCAAAGGGTACCACCACGTGGCTGAGATGCCGCATCAGGAACCGGTATGTCGAAATGCTAACGCGGCGAGAGATGTTGAGCTAACGTTGACATAGGTATACGAGCTTCACAGTGGGAACAGAGCTGATCTGGAGTTGGATGGGGCGAACAAGGCGCAGTCGTCCATGTATCGCTGATCCGCTGTTCATGTTCTTCAGATTGACGTTCTAGCTGATTGCGATGTGGCCACCGGGCCGGGTACCTGTCATTGGGGAAGTAATGAATGCTCGTACAGACCACATCATCTTCCCGTTGTACCGTTCTTGGTACTCTCTCTCTCTTCTCCAACGTTGCTTTTACTCCGTCTTCGATTTCCTAGACTGTTGGTCTTCCTTGACAGCTTCCATGAATGCGCTGGCTGCGATACCGCAAGTTCCTGTCACGCTTGAGCCTACAACAATCGCCTGGACGATTGCAAGCCCATACCCTCCCATTGCGGCACTCGTAAGGATAGCGAAAGCGCTACCCGCAGCGATGGGAGCGACGCCTGCTTGGAATGCAGAAGCCGTGGAGCCTATTTCATATGTTAGATACCAGTCTGGGGATATGATAGGCAGTTAATGCGTACCGGCAGCTATACCGATGGGTGTGAAGCCCACAAGTCCCAGCATAACGGGAGTAACAGCAAGGGCGATGGGACCGGAAGCGATACATGCCAGCAACGTGGAAAACTGTTTAGGATTGGCGAGAATCCATGCTTTGAGCCTCTCGCTGAATCCCGCAAGGTCTTTCTTGGTGAACTCAACATTCGGAAGAGTGGACTGGCCAATGTCGTGCATGATGTCGCCGCTGCTTAGCTTTTCCCAGAAGTCGCCCGCTGTGGTACCAAGATGTTTCGCCATGTCTTCCCCAAACTGTGTGATAAACTTCCACCCATACTCTTCACTTAAGTGTCCCTCTGAAACTTGAGGCAGGGCGTGAAGACCTTGCTTGCCGCTGTTATAGGCGGCTCGGACGAGTGTCATAGCATTCTTCGAAGCACTGCTGATAATGGGAGCGGCATGTTCGCCCGCTTCCTTGCTGAGCCTGCCCAGATGAGTTCTCGCGTCTGCGGCGGCTGGACCAGCACGTTTTGCTACTTCTTGACCGAAAGCGCTACCGTGTGCCCATGCCTTGTCTGCAACAGATGCTACATGTCGCGCCGCCTCTGGTCCGTAGGTGTCGGCGAGTCTTCGCGCGTCTTCAAGCACTCCCATCTTGTCGGAGATTGTGATTTGGATTGTGTTTGTGGTGTCGCGCACAGTGTTCTCAGTGTTGCTGAGTGATAGGGATCATTGTTTGCACTAGCGTGGGATAGGTGAATGCGGAGGTGCTGCTGTGTGACACCACGACATGCGGGGTCCACGCATGAACGCCATTGCTGACATTACTGCAGTCTCAATAACTTGTACCAGCCGCAGAGGCCAGAGGTTGTAGTAACCACAAGCTGTATACGGAAGACTGTTTGCACAACATTAATGAATCTTGGAATAGTCACAGAACGACAATGCACTACTCGCATAAAAGAAGAATCAAGAACGATACCTTGCACACTACGTATCCACAAGGCTAAATCGTATGACAATTCTTGAGAGTATGTGGCCAATTCAATCTCCCATTGGCCATGTTGGACATCAATCGTTATGAAACATTGGGGTGAATCGTGCCCAATGGGGCATGAACGATGCCTAGTAAATGTCGTTGGAGGTTCGCGACTGTGGCTGTCTTGCTGGTGCAACGACGAAAGCCAACTCAAGGCCAGAGAGCTCTCTCGGACCACTGCTGCCGTAGATATAGAGCACCGTCGTATACAACATGGAATGCAGTTGGTCGTGGAGGCGATAAGATTAGAGACGCGGAAATGACCGACCCGGGTCCACGTTCTAGAAGCTTGGCACGGGCCCGTTGAACAGGACTTGGAACCTGGAGGCGAGCGGACCGATATAGCGTCATAGACAACGGCCTTTAGACGACGGCGTGGAGAGTGCAAACGGGCTGTGAGTGTTTGATTGATGTGCGCGCGTCGTGTAGGCGCAGTGGCGCGCTGCTAACAGGAATGTGAGTGCCTGGCGTGAGAGGTGCAGGTGATGCAGGGCCACTTAAGCGGGGCGATAGGTTGGACGTCATCCGCGGATTCGTCTGATCGACCAGGCTGATGTGCGGGACAGGGACCGGCAGCGGCCTCGCACCAACCATCGAGACGTGCGCGCCTGTCAGAGCAGGGATGACTGCCATGTTTGACGTGCATGTGTGCAGCCTGTGTCGCGCCCAGCCTGCTGAGCTTTGTTGACGTCCCCTTATCCCCTTATAATGTCCGCCGCCGGTATGCCTCGCCTGCCTGCTGCAGGCCGCCACGATGCTGCGACGACTGCACCACGACATGGTTGACGAGAATGCCGGAAAGCTGCTGCGGAAGGACAGCAAGAGGCAGCGCGTCCTCAAGTTCTTCAGGGCCTTCAAGCAGAAGCAAACACAGCGCCAGGGTGAAGTCGCTGTACCTGTATGTCACCTGCTCCTTCTCTCTGGTGTTATCGTCACGATACTCGCACGATGATCAAGAAGCTGATAGCAAACTTCCCGACAAAGGCACCGCCCAAGCATGATAACGCTGCCCCGCAATCAGCCCCTCCACAAACACTCGATGTGATACCCCAAGAGGAACCGAGTGCCGCAGTCGATCATGAGAGCATGGCGCCCGTAGAAGAACTAGAGCCAGATCGCGTACCCACACCACCGCAAGAAACCAAGGAGGACAAGTTGGAGACTCTTGGTGAGGGCCAGCTTCGTACGCTCTTCGCTGGCGCCCCGCAGTTTGGCATCGCCAGGACAGGCAGTCGCTATATACCGACCGTCACTCATCCCTGGAACGCCGATGCTGTACTAAAGGAAGCTACCGATACAGTTCCACTTGCCGAACCCGCCTTCTCAGCCGCGACCCTACACGAACAATCATCCAAGACCCGACAGCTACCCGAGACTTCGAAACAGTACAATGGTTATCAGGTGGACGTGGTGGAGATGCCGAGCATGGTCAGTGCCCAGGGTGTCGAGCCGGGGACTGTTGGCTTCTCGCATTTCCTCGAGCTACCAAGGTCTGACACGCTGGCCAGCGAGCTGGACCAGTCTCAGTCCAGTCAAGACTCCGCTGAGTCGGCCAGAAATAAGGACGTCATGCAGGCAACTCCTGAGCGACTGGGTATCCGTTCGGTGGACTTGAACTTGATATACGACCGCTTGGCTGAGTTCCAGGACATGTACGAGGCATTCCAAGACAGCCCCGAGCCCATGACAATCCTCAACAACCAAAGCTCTGGAGATCTGTACGCGAATCTATTCACCAAGTTCCTTACCCCTCCGGGCTACGACGACTCTACCGAAGACCCTACAGGCTTGCAGACACAAATCGTGGCCCTACTCAGGGTATTGGGACTGAAGGGTGTCTGGTACGACTTCAGCCTTGTCGAATGGAGGATAAGGCTTGGCCAAATACTGTGGAGTGAACCCGAGCCAACTTCCGAGCATGATCATCAAACCCTATGGACAGAGCGGGAGATACTATTACTGCAGATCACCTTGGCTTGCGAGTTGCTGCTTCGACTGGATGCCTTCACGAATGCAGATGCGACCGACGCTGAGATCCGACTTCGGATTGACGCAAAGGATATCGAAGGGTTTCTCAAGATCAAGACGAGGAAGGTTGACTGGGATTTGGTGCTCGCGCGGAGATTTCTCGACAATGTCGTCATCATGAGAGGCAATGATGCGCCAGTCTCACCCAAACCCAAACTACGTGGACTACTGTCACTGCTAAGCCAAGGCGCTCACGCCCAAATACCGCAGTCCGACCTCATCATACTTCCACAGCATCAATCCAGACAGCTCTCTGGGCTTCTTCACTTTGCGAAGACACTGCAATGGCCTAGCCTTGACGTGGTCTCGGTGGATTTAGCTCGGAAGCTTGGAGAGCAACACAAGACCGAGGAACCCACACCAGCGTCACCCAGCGGAAGGTTGCTCGACATGGCCACCCCTTCCGGCATCAGTGTATACGGCACGCCACTGCAAACACCCCTCGCTTCCGGTCAACAACTGGACAGCTACTTCGGCCATATCGGAAAGCCTGCTTTGAATCGCAACAATTCTCGTGCCCTGCGCATGCCACTTTCCCCCGTATCGACCATCTCGGAAAACGATGCCACGTCCAGCTACAATATCGGAGGGTGGCTGAGTCGGTCTTATCTGACCGGTCTTGTGCTCCCCGGAGAAGCCATGTCACACTTCCTCGTGTCGACCTTGCTTGAGAACGACAGCAACGCTATTGCCAACCTGGGAGAATCAGCAAACTTGTACGGCGGATTCACCTTTGGCGACAGAACCTTTTGGAGCAAGTCTTCCGTTGTTGGGCGCATTCTGGCGTGTATCAAAGGCTCTGCAGAGTGTATGGGCTGGATCTCATGTCCAAAGCTACCCGACAGCCCTGCCGACCGTTGGTACTCGATTCACAGCGAACTGCTTCCGCACGAGAACCGGTTGCGACCAAGAGACGGTTCTGACACAGTCGCCGAAGAGTCAGCTATCGCGCCAGTCGATTCTCTAGCTTCGTTGAGGTCCGAGGACTTTGTTCTTCCTCAGGATCCTGATTCGTACCTGGCTCCCTCCTTGGTCTTCTCGCAGTGGGAACTGGTCCCAATTAACACCGACCTTATCGACGGTGACAGCTTGACAGGACCGCCAACCGAAAGTGACATCCATGCCCCGTCGATGACGTTTGTCACCAGAGGAGATGCAGTGAGCCACACCATCACGTTGACATACGATGTTCAATTTGTCACTTCTTTCCCCTGCACCACAGCTGCGTCTGCGCCTCCCTCGTTCACGCATCGCCCGAAGGTTCTGAGGCGCTCTGGCACCGGAACAATTTCGAGATCCTCTTCAAAACATAGCGTAACTCTTTCACGCCGCAACAGCCACGGCTTCGAGCCGCTCCTATCGCATCCACCGGATGCATCAGACATCGCGCCAAAGCGGATGTACGAAGCATCCACCGGACCAGAAGTCGAGTCGCTTGCGACTAGCAGCAAGCCCATGAACGCGCATCCTCTACACCAGTCGTACTCCTACAAGATTGTGCCAGTCACCGATGTTCTGGATCCTGACTTCTTACTGCCGTTCGAGCTTCACACGTCCAAGTCTACGGAACGCCTACTTGATCTGTCGCGGAGCAACGACAGCGACACAGCGGAGACAATCAAAAATAATAAGAAGGCTGTGTTGGTACTAGATGCCAGGGCTTCGTCTGATCTTCAGCTGCTCGCACGAGCCTGGTGTGCGGAAAAGGGCCTTCATGCGATCGTGAGTCGTGTAGGAAGGACTTGTTTGGGTTGCTCCATTCGCGAGGCCAGATGTTTAGGCATCCACATTGTGATCAGAGTTTAGGTTGCCGCGTGACTACTTGGTCATTCACGCCAGCACTGGAGTTTTTGCTACATTTCTCAAATTGTCACATTGTCCTCCGGGCAGGGAGTTGGGGGTTTAATTTTGCTACATGCCATTACTGCGGGCGCGCATACAAGATACCCACATTGTGAATGAATACTACTGTTACTCTCCATTGCCCATGTCAAATGATCCGTTGCCACGTCCTTTACTTGTTTGAGAATCGCGTGAGACAGAAATACTGTGTACCCACTATCTACGCGCGTTCGCAATCAGCCACCGCATTCACTCCTAGCTCGCATGTCTCGTATCTCGACGATAACGGTGCGATTGCAGAGGCTGTGTTTGCCTACCTTGAGTTCAATTAGCAAGATCGGCGCCACGTGCTGCTAGCCGAGGGGGCGGGCTGTGTGTCTGTGGGTGGCCTGGCGTGCCTGATCTCACGCGAAGCGCGTTTGGACTTCGCGGGTCGAAAATCAAAAACTTCCAACACCGCTCACCAAGGCTCTTATTACGTTAGAATCTCTATCTACGACGTGTCAATTATCACTATCATACTTTTTTTTCTGCTCTCGACAGAATACATCATCGACCCTGACTTACAAGCTCACCTGGTCTCTTCTTACATCATCCTTCCTTCCTCCTTCGTTCAGCACCGACCCTTCTACCACCAAACTCATCCAGCAGTCGCCACTCTCTCCCCGCTTCCAAGATGAATTACGCCCCGATGAACCCAGAGACAGAGGAGTTTACACCTGCGCACGACGAGCCGAAAGATTGCTGCACACGATGCATTCAGCGAATTGATTGCACGCTGGCAGGCCCTTGGTGCATCGAATCAATTATTGCGTGTTTTGCGAGTATGGGAAGTTGTTTTGGCGATGCGTGTAGTAATTGTGGGGACTGCTGTGGTGAATGCTGTGCTGGGTGTTGCAAGGCATTCACCTGACGCGGAAACATGGGAAGAGAGGAGAAAGAGGAAGACCCCGAAGAAGGTTGCGGTATTTATCATTCAACAAGCTCACTCTTGTTGAGGTATCGACCTGAACTACTGGTGTCGTGAGGGGTTCGTTAGGGGTCTATGGGTCATCGCAGAACCAGAATATGGCGAACCGAAGTCTGGCAGAGCGCATGTGAAAGAGAACGATGACTGAGAAAAAGGTGGGAGCGCGCCTGGAGGGCTTCGCACGCTGGATGAACGCGATTGCCTTCGACGCATGTCAACACGCCGACACGACAGAAAGCACTCGCCATTGCGACTTCCACAGAGACAGAGCACGTGCAAAATGCCATGCTGACGGTCTTTGACCTTCAAAGTGGCATCTGCTATACTCTTCCACTACGACCTTCCGCTCATCAGTCATCGCCTCTATCGTTACAGCACTATCGCTATCATTTGTTGGCATCGGGGTCCATCGACAACGTCATCAAAGGTATGTAGAGCATGACCTAATTCCGGACTGTTCTAATGTGATGCAGCAGTCATTTCATCTCATCCTCACCACCGGCATTCAGTCACTAGAGGCAGCACTTGAAGTATTCGCGCCTTGCTTTTTTCTTCGCAAAAACATCCACAGCAGGTACACCTACCTTTCCAGACACATAGCGTACAGTCCACGGGTCAATCGACATCCCAATCATGCCTGGGAATGCAGGTCGGCGAGCTCGCCATATGCGCGGCTGTGGTAGATTCTACATAGACCGTAGGATATGTCCTAACTGTGGAGCAACGGTATACCAGTTCTCCAGACACGCAGTTCAGACTTGTAGAACTTGTGAATTCAACTTTATCTGGAACCGTGAGCCAGAATTCGTACCAGCGAAACCTCCTGCTCCACGTCCTCTCGGTCAGTTTGACTTAACTTTGACGTGCTGTATTGGGGCTGATTGAGAATAGGCCGCGGACTCGTACGTGTGTTGAGCGATATAGAGGATGGCGATGAAGCTGATAACTCAGATGACGAAAGCCTGAGACCGAGAAACAGTATCACGACTGATGAGGGTTCTTTCAAAGGTCGCTCGAGTTCGAGGACCGAATCCAGAGACGACAGCGTCGTCAGTCTACTCAAAAACTGGGCACCATACACCTCCAAATCAGGCCAGACAGACGATACACAACAGCCAGCAACTCCTCCAGTCAGCCTTGACTCTCCCAACACAGTCCGCAATTCTCGACAGGAACCCTTCATCCCACCTCCACGATCCCGCATACACGTTCCAAGCAGATTCCGAAGGTACACCAACCGCATCCGAAGGGAACCCGTGGCACCTAGTCCGTCCGTGGTGACCGCTGATGCTGTCAAGAGAGTACCTCGTATGGTCATGGTCAAACAAGCCTTCTGTCTCAATTTCATGCTCGAGGCACGGGCACGCGATCCACCAAGACATGGAGGATCTCTCAGACACCCGTCTCCTGTGATCGAGCCGCGTGATCCTGACGGCGTGGTTCTACAACACTGCGCTGATCTACACCATGCTCTTTTGCCGCTTGAAGGGTGGGAGAGAGATGAAGTGGTCGAGGAGATCGGAGCGGCTGAAGAGGGAGATGTTGAACGAGACCTAGAGATGGAATTACTCAGCATCTTCAGCCCCGACGCGCTGTTCGAAATCAGCGATGCCGATGAAGTTGCTCTCCTTCAGCCCGAACAGTCCGGTGTCGATGACAGCAATGAGGATGGGGAGGTTACGCGTGGCGGGGAGGAGAAATCTCTCCGCGATCTCATGCGGGAATTTTCTTGCTACACGTTCGTGCGTAATCTGGGTGCTGGGCTGAAGAACAAGGTACGCAAGTGGAAGAGATAAGACAGGATGCAACAACAGCTCTAGGCTGGACATGTGCGTTTGCGCGCTGCTGTCATTCGGTCTGTCGGAAACACTGTACTCTAGCAACGCGTTAGAAACTAGTGACGTCGACTTAGAGAAAGAGCATGCTCCTGACCCGACATGTCTATCGCTCAGTGGAGAGTCATGGTTAGCATGCAAGACAGACCATAGAGCTATGGACAAAAATCTTAACACGCGAAACTTTCGAGTGCTGAAGGAGTCTGATCGTTCTTTGTTTGCTACTTAAAGCAAAGGAATCATTGTCATAATAACACGCTGGTGCATATGCTCCAACATGATTCCGTAGTAGATATACATGCAGCCCGTCACATTCCTCAATGTGCCCGCACCCGACAACCAGCTTCCCAGCCGGTGAATCCACCTCCTACCCATCATCTTTATTTCCTCCCATCCCACATTTACTTCAAAGCCTTCTCAGCTTTCTTCTCCGCCTTCTCAGCAGTGTGCTTAACATCCAGCATCTCGCCCTTGGCCTGACCCTCGGTGTTCTCCAGACTCTTGTTGTACATGTAAATGCGACCGACCTGTGTGGCACCGACGCAGAAGACGAGGAAGTTGACACCAGCCAGCGCGACGTTCTTGGGGCGGATGACGAAGCACCAGCGCGTCCAGATGGCGCCTGTGCACATGAGAGCGAAGTTCTGGGTGAAGGAGAGGGATTCGGCGGGGCGGGAGAAGTCGGAGGCGCCGGCGAGAACCATGCCCCATTTCATTACTGGGGCCCTGTTGGGGTGTTAGCATTTGTGCGATGGCTTGGGTGGGGTGGGGTGTGTTTTGGAGGTCGGTGTTTGCTGCTGCTGCGGATGCGGATGCGCTTCGGAGAGTGCGGGGAGCTGGCAGCGCATTGCGGGTGGAGAGGGAGGTGGTGTCGAGGCAGCGTACCAGAAGTGGACTGTCTTGGGACCGATGGGGCTGTTCCAGAACTTCTGGAAGCCAGCGGGCTCAGCGCCCGCCGTGGAAGCATGTCGGCGGGCATTTGCGCGTTGGAAGAAGGGTCGGAAGGAGCTGAAGATGCGGGAGCCGGGGCGGAACGACATGATGGCGAGCTGTGTCCTGGACGCTCGAGGTCGGCGATTCGAGTGGGAGCAGGAATTGGGGCGTCGAGAGCGAGGTCGAGGCCTTGGCGAGTGTCGTGTGCGAGGGCCGTCGCGATGTCGGGCTCAAGCATGAGATGATAAATCCGGGACTATCGATGGGGGTGCTCCGACTGCTTTAGGCCCGAAGCGGTAAGGCGTGCGTCTGGCAGCTTGACGAACATTGAATGTCGCTGCCGGCCCAGTGACGACAGACACCGATTGATACCCCCGCACACCAGTACCGGTCCCTACCATGGCGTCAAAAGCATTCGCAAACGGCCTCAAGGAGCTGAGGTTCCTGTTCTGCCAGACCAGCGAGCACAGCGCCGCGACAAGGTATGCGACAACCGAGTGAAGGAGCGCAACCCAACGCGCAGGCTATTGCACAAGAGCAGGATAGACAGGACAGGCAGGATAGAGCGAACCGCGCTGACCGACTGGACAGGAATTTCCTCATGCGAAGCTACCCCGCCATGAAGAAGGCCAACCCATCCATCCCCATTATGATCCGCGAAGCCAGCAACACCCAGCCCACCGTATATGCCCGATTCGGTGCGTCACACTCAACCAGGACATACGATAGCAATGCTAATAATTTGGGCTAGACTTCGGAAAGGAGCGGAAGCTGTCACTGAAGGGCCTGGACGACAAGGCCATCGAACAACAAGTCACAGAGCTGGTACAGAAGGGCGCATGAGTACATATTGGGAAGGAGGACGAGTGAAGAAGACAAGAGTCGTAGGTGAAGACGAATAGGCATACGAATAGCTCAAGAGAGCACAGCATAATAGCTCTGTATAGCCCGAATTGACCACATCTTCTCCCAATTCCCTTTCACCTTAGCTTCCAAATCCCCATTCACCGTCACCATCCCATCTTTTGCGTAGCATATAAACTGCTCAACCGCCTCCCATCTTCCTATTTCCTCAGCCGCCAGAACCTCTTTTGCAGACCACAGCCTCTCCACATCTCACAAACATCCTGCAAAACATCACCGAGACTACTACATCTACTAACGATGTCTCACCAGACCAACCTCCCAGGTCACCATGACGCCGACATCGCCGCCGCCGAGGTGGATATCCTCGTCGTGAGCGACGTGAGTACCTCCCAGCCCCTCTATCATTTTCAGATCAGCACTGACAAAGTTACTTGTATAGCACCCCGCCCTCGCGACCGGCCGCGCGGCCGAAGAACTCAAGCGCATCGAAGCGCAGTATCGGCACGTTGTCGAGCTGCTGGTTCAAGAAAAGTCGGCTGCGGCCGCCCGGATCGAAGATCTGGAGACCACCAACGCCGCCCTGCTGAAAATCCTCGGCAAGAAAATGGCGGATGAGGTGAACGGCATCTTTGTGCAGACGCACATTGTGCCCGCCAAGAGGGTCGTGCTTCGGCCTGGAGAGGAACTCTGGTCTGGCATCTTCAAAGATGTTTGAAGATGGGTTGGGTGGTTTGGTACTATTCTGATGCCCCGTCTTGTTTCCTCTTCCCCCTCCGAGTTTTTGTTTTTTGTGTTTTTTTGTAGATAGATATTGACCTTCTGGCATCAAATTCCATCGCGTGGTGTGCCGCATATCATGTCTTCTTGGTGTGTGTGTACAGTGGTGTCTTCGCGGTTTTGTGATTTGGACATTGTGAATGCAATATGTTCTACATGCTTGTATATAAAACTATACCTCAAGGTACCGCATACATCTCCCAGAGTAGCAGCAACAGGCTCAATTCCAGAGTCGTTGTAGTCATCTCGGTATCACTTGTTCGGCGTCTTGCGTCGCAGAAATCCCTCGACTCACATCACGCCCACCTGAGAACCTAGCATCATGTCCGCCTCAATAGCTTGTAAGCCTCAACAAGCCGGCTTCTTCAGCCGGTTCCGTCGCACCGACTCCGTCATGGGCTCACCGACAGGCTCTGCTACGCCTTCCCTAGCGCCCTCTCTCGCATCCTTGAGTCAGGACAACGACAACCTGGCTGCGACCAACACTCGCCTACAAAACCGCAACCAAGAGTTGACGCAGCAGTCTGAACTCAATCAATTGCTCTTCCATCAAACCTCCGAAGCGCTCATAGAGAAAGAGAGCGAACTTGTGGAGCTGAAAGAGAAGTTTCGCGACAATGCTGAAGCTACGAATGAGACTATTCAGGCTCTTGGAGAGCAGCTCCAGACTCTAACCGAGCAGTTGGAGGAATCGCAGGACAAGGCTACTGCGCGTGAAGTCCAGCTAGTCGAGCAAATAGACAGAGCACAAGACACCGCTACCGATCGTGATGCTCAACTAGCTGATTCTGAAGAGCAGCAACACCAACTCTCCTTGGAAGCTGCCCATGTGCAGTCCCCGACCCAAGAAGACGTCGACGACTTGATCTGGGCCAAGCTCCAGGACAGGAATAAGACCATCCACTTCCTGCGTTGTCGCCAGGCCAAGTCTGACAAACGCATCCAGAAGCTGCAGGAGCGTCTAGAGGTTGAGCAGAGTGTGGGGAGGGATTGGGTTGAGACTATCATGATGGTTAATATGAAGGTTAGGGCGAGGGCGAGGGAGGGGAATGATGCTGATGCTGGGGTGTAGATGTAGGTGATACGGTTTAATGGTATGGTGTGGTGATTGGCATATGGTGATCGGGCTAGACTGTATTTACATAGTGCACTGTACATTTTTCGCAGTGTGTCAGATCTAATCTTCGTCCAAATCTTCACTTATTAGTTCTTCGTTATTCATGCTCTTCTCTCTACCTCTCCTCAACGCTAGCATCCATCAAGCCCCGCTCATGCTGCAATGTCCGTAGCACACTTCACAGTAACACCCTCGACGTCAGTTCGCTGCGCCTCCTGTTCACTTCCCAACAAGATGACTCCGAGATGTCACGTAAGGCGAAAGACGCCACCAATGTATCGCGTAGTCACATGATCCGTCATGTACTGCTGTTGGGTCAATCCTTGTTCCGTGCTGGACGCCACCAATAATGCCCCTCAGGCACATCACATACAAACACCTGTGTCGCTGTTGAGTCGCTCGAAAACTACGATAGCGTGGTCGACTAGGTTGATGCCTGTTGGTGTTGGTGTTTCGTGGCACACGTAGTGGGCTGTCAGGCGCCTGTCTTTGTTGTGTCATCGCCCGCCTTTGGTCTCCGAGACTCCGAAACAGAATGTACCTGCATATATGGCCAATTCCAAGATGTATGTTCCCGCCGTCTTTGTGCTCATTCGGCTCTTTTGCCGAGTAGGTGCGCAGATGATCTGCATGCTGCAGGGTATTCCGAACGAAGTAAGAATTGACGACGGGTACTGTATCCATAGAAGATTATTTGCCCCGTTTGCCTTATTTGAATGGTATCAAAAACCTGGTCATGACGCGTGTGCCTTAGGTGGCAGTGTAACTGGATCGGTTGAGCTGGCTTGCTTGGTTGGGGTGCTAAGGCCCTTGTTTGATGTGGGATTGTTTTGTGGCGAGACACAATCGGAGGCCACTGATCTGTGTGTTCCTGGAAAGTGTCTCGAACTGCGATAGCGTCATGCGGTATTTTCAGTCCGCTCTTCCGTCATACCTACTGTCTGGCGCTTGGTCGTCGCGGCAGTCAAGCGAGAATACCGAAAGCATCCAACGTTACATCGGCCGAGCTGTACCTTGTTTGAGCAACGACCCAATACTCGACCCTGGCGGCGCATGCTTGGTCAACATGATCACGGGATCATGGTAGCTCTGTTGCTCATGTGCACGCCCGCTGAGTATCGGGCGGCTGCAGCTTATTAGCTTCCTTGGGTGGAGGACTGACATGGATGACGACGACTTGGAATGCAAGCCGCAGACGGGACCTTGCGGTAGGATGTGATAAGTCGCATGATCGACGTACTGAGCCAACTCTAGTTGCATTAGATGTGTCTGCAAGTTCTATCATCGGTCTTCCAAGCATGGATCATGCGTTCTGTAGCACTTCTGCGCTGTAAAGCGGTTGGCTGCTCTGACAGCAGGCACTACAGTCTGTGGCTGCTATCTGACAGCCCGTGTATTCATGACTATAGTACTGTAGCCTATAACGACGTGCCTTAATTTCGAAAAGTTTATCAACATGCAAGCCACCTCGAGGGGAATACGTAGTGTATGTCGTGCGCGCACGTTGATACTGGCCGCCCGGGTGACGCATGTGCGATGGTTTGAGCGCACAAGACCGGTGAACTCGATTGGGCCGCTTTGAAACGAAGTACAGTCGTTGATATCTGAGAGTTGGTGGACTGACTTCTTATCGCCAAAAGGACGGCTCAGTGTGATGCGAATGAAGGTCCATTGGAGTAAGGTCGATATGTATTACGGCAATATGCTGGAAGCATTGAGTGTCTTAATGCCGTGCTGGAGCGTCAGATATGAGTCCTCCAATTGGGCTTTTTGGTCCGAGATTGAATGCCGCTTGAGCCTGATTCTGAACATTGTTGAGCGATATGGCTAGTTTCGCACCTTGTACCTCGCAACGCCAACTCCAAAAACAGGCATTACGAAGCAAACCCAACCTTGAAATGCGAACATTAAGTTTCCGAAGTGAGAACAACATATGTAAGATCTGTTGGAATGGCTGGTGAATGCAGAAACATGACTGGAGGCCTGATTGTGGTTCAACCGAGGAGGACCTCCCATTCCCACTCTTTCATGACGCTCAACCAATGCAAGCGGCTTTTGACTGTTACTCCCGAATTCTGGGAGTCTGTGGTACCGGACGGTATCGGCATCCCGTACGGTGTTTCTCGTGAACCGAAGTCGCGATCGGCGTCGTAATCATCGGGATAGGCGTCGTTCTCACAAATAATGGATTCGTCTGATGAGAAGCTGTCGCTGCGCAAGTGCTCCATATTCATGGTTGTACGCTCAAGCGCATGATTGTCGCGTCGGTTCCAGACTTCTTTCGTGACTTCCAAACATCGCTCTATGATCCCCAATTTCATTCTGGTAGACATCAGAGACCAGCGATCTTTGACCCATTCCCGATCCTCCGGCTCAGTCATCTCACAGCCAGCAGCCATCAGAGGATAGATATGCACGATGATCGAACGTGAGCGCGGATGAACGGTAGCCAAGGCGCACAGTACTTTGTGTGCGAGCACGCCGGGTGGCTGGGAAGGAACCTCAGGTACGGCTTGGTGAAGATAGAGCAGTGTTGCGTATTGATAAGCGATCGCAGTCTTGATAGCGTCTTGCGGACTTGTTGTCTCATCTTCTGGTTCTTCAATGTGAGAAGGCGGGGTCCATTCCTCGAGTTGAGATTTCAATTGCACTGCTTGCGATATGATGGTGGGTCCGTTGCTATCGGATCTCCGCACTTTCCTCACCAGATTGGCGACCCGACCAATGATGGGGAAGAGCGTGTGCGCGCAGCCCATCAACGGGTCAAGAGTAGAGTCGGTGTCTCCAGCAGCATATATGCTTTCTCTCACATTGTCGACATCGTATGCGTCGTCTTCGTCAGCGGAAGTAAGGCGAGCAAGAACGTCCATGTAAATCCAAGTGTTGCAAAGAAACTTCAGCCGAGCCCATTCTTCGCCTTGCTTTGGCATGAGACGATGGTTTATGAGTGCTTGATTGATCAAGATCTTAGCTCCTTTGATGTGGTTGATGCCGGTACTGATATGCTGGTCCCAAGATTCGGCAAAAGCCAGAACAAGTGTAGTCGATATAGCTGCGTCGACACGCATGTTCTGAAGTCCAGCAGCCAATGCATGTACAGCGCTCCGCATATGATCTATACCCTGTATGCGCAAAGTAGGCATATCTCTTGCCTGATGGAAGGAGGTCATCGATGCGATGGCATGGTAGAGTGCGGGACAATCTCTCGTTAGAGGCCAGATGAGAGTCCGCCATGGGTTCTCTGTAGGCCCGTCCTTCAGTGACAGTACGCCGCATGTGTCCCTATGATAACGCCGCGTGAGTGACTCTGCCGATGTCATAGATAAATGTAACTGGGCCGGGATCTTGAAGTCGGGAGAATTCGAGGAAGAGCCTGATGAGCTTGGTGTCGTGGGCGATGGTAGCCACATCACGCAAGCTGCAGACTCGTCCATCTTATCGCGCACAACTTCTTCGTCGACATCGTCATCCAATGGCGCTGGCGGCGTCATACCAGAGGGCTGATAGAAAGCTTCATGCTGAGACACAAAGGAAGAGTACTCCTCCGGTGGCACATTTAGATCTGTTCCTGGGAGTAGGAGGTCAACTATTCGGGGAGATTGGCCTGACGAAAGGCTTGAGTCAGTATTCGTATTGGCCCGTGCAGTAGTCGTACTTTCGGCTCCAATAATGCCAAATGGCTCGAAAGAACCTGGCGCATATGACTCCACTGGTGATATTGACTGAGAGATGATGAATGGCGATGTTGTCGGGACAGTGAACAAGTTTCCCATAGGTGCCAAGGGAGGATGTGGAAAGGCTATTTGTATGGGTGGATCATGCGTGAAAGGGTATGAGTGTTGGTGCGGCGGATAGTATACCCCAGGGTGGGACGGGTTCCCGAAGGTGCATTGATACTCCTGGAGACCGTATTGTCCCTGGAATTGCGAATACACAGCTGTTGGCGTTTGGAGGGACGGACCTAAGCCTGTCAGATGCGTATCAGTATGGCTGTGTCAACACTAACCTTGACGTGGATTGATGGGCGCTTTGCTCGTAGTGTTCAACTCGTCATAGTGCTTCCATTTGTAATCTTTGGCGTAACCGCCGCATGTTATTGCACGTCTCTCGCATTGCTTGCATGAAGGATGTCTTTCGTCACATTTCAAGCGCTTCGCCTTGCAGGAAACGCATCCTGTACACAGGTCAGTATAGTCACAGGTGGAAGCAGGTCGAGTTACGCTTATCATGTGGGCGATAAGAGTTAACGCAGGGGAAGCATACCATTACGGCTCTTGGACTGCTTCCTTTTGGTGACGCCAGAGGTATCGGAAGCTTTGGTTGCCTTCTTCTTCGCGGAAGATGATGCAGATGACACCTGCTTAGCGGGCTTGACGTCGATCGGAGCAGTGTCGGATGATCTCAGCACGGATGAGGATGACGAAACAGTGATAGCCTCAGCCATCTGCCGCGGAAGGTGCGAGCGTTCGGTCGCTGGGCGAATTTGTCGGCGGCCCGAGATATCATATGCAAAACAACAATTGACTAGCTACGCAGAAGCGAGAAGAATCACCGGAGGTTTGGTAGATAAGCAGGAAGGCAGCGGTATCTAAAGTGGAGAAGAAGCTGGGGAGATGCACGGCTAGTCATTAGCGCCTTACCTATCGGGTTCGCGAATCACGCGTGGGGTCCGGTTCCAGCATCTTTCTTCACTCTGCGCAATCGCGAATTTTCTTTACCAAGGTTTGTGCTCAGTGATATGCGGCAGTAGCTACTCGAGTCCAGTATATTGTGCGATGGCTGACAATTGGTATTAGCCGTTGGCTGGGATCGTGGTGCAGGCCCCCTCATCGACGCTATCCGCATTCGGAACCCTTGCAGCCGGCCGTGAACCGCTCCACGAACGGCTCAGCCCTGTTTCGGGAGCGACGCAAAGCCGTGGGAGATCCCGTGGAGCATGTATGAGGAACGCATTCGCTTTGGGAACTCTACGTCAGGGGGCATAGGCCAGGCCTACTTGGAGCCGGCCTCTCTTGGTTGCACTGCGCACAGAAGACACAAACAGTAGGAGGCTAAGCTTTTTCGTATCTCTATGTCGTCCTTCACAAAACGGAGATATGCCGTGTAGGTCTCAAGCGACATGTAGTGCCCCAGCGTCTTCACACTCCTCTGTCACCATCTGAGCCCATAACCAGACTCTATTGATCTGGTGGCAAGAATTCTACCTCTCCTTTGTCCTCGATCTTATACGTGACATCGTCGATGGTAACTTCCTTCTTACCTTCTTTCATGGCTTTGATGAGACCAGGAGCTGTAGCAGCGACAGCAACCCCGGTAGCCGTGCCCGCAGCGATGCCGTTGACAAGTATAGCGCCAGCGCCTCCCGCTGCTGCGCTTTGGAGAACAGCAAAGGTACTTCCAGCTGCAACACTGCCAATGCCGGCCTGTGCGCCAGCTGCGGTAGATCCTATGAGACATGTCAGTCAATCACACAGCATACGGTTCCTGGTCGGCATTTGAGGGAACTCACCAGCTGCAACACCCGCGGCCGTGAAGCCCACCATATGCAGAATACCATGTGCGGCCGCGATACCGAGAGGAGCAGCGACAACACAAGCGATGATACCTGCAGTCTCTCCTGGATGCTCCTCAATCCATTGCTTGGTGTGCTCTGCGGCAATACCAATCTGCTTTCCAGCCTCTTGACCAAAGGCGTCCACATGGTTCCACGCTTCTTCTAGAGCAGGTCCGACCTGTTCCGCCGCGTCGTGTCCGAACGCTTCGACGTGTCCGTACGTCTCTTTGACGGCATCGCCCATCTGCTTTCCAGCTTCTTGTCCAAACCCATCAAGACCCTTGCTAGCTTCTTCCGTAGCACCACCGATATGCTTGCCGGCTTCCTGACCAAAAGCGTCGAGATTCTCACCAGCTTCATTTACGGCTCCACCGATGTGCTTCCCTGCTTCCTGGCCAAATTCATCAAGGTTCTTGCCAGCCTCATCCGCAGCGCCACCCATTTGCTTTCCCGCTTCTTGACCAAAGCCGTCCATTGCCTTCCAGGCGTCGTTGAAGAAAGACATGATAACCGATTGACCGAAGAACTGAAAGTGTATGTATTTTGCTACGATCGGTATCAAGAGGAAGCTTCTGCGAAAGCGTGAGATGAGTGAGGTCAATACAGAACAAGGTGCACGCGTGAAAGAGGAAGAAGCCGACGCGGGGCGGTATGGTGGTGAGGCGAGTCTTTTGTTGTTTGTGCGACGCAAAGGGTCGGCTTGACAAGCGCTGGGATGAGGAGATGCATGCATGCAGTCGTGCGATTGGACGGACCGGACAGGTGGGTGCATAATAACTCCCTGCCATATATGAAACTACAAACAGTAAAGTACAGCTACTATTACATCGACAGAATGTACATGTGACGTCATATAAGAGCCGCGCACTATGCAAACGCCAAAACAGCAAAGACGCCTAGGAAATCGAACACTCCAAATGCCGAAAAGGGTATCTCCTCTCGTAGTCCTACAGTCAATAGTAGCTCAACCCCGAAGCCCTCACCTTTTTCTTCCCTTTCTTCTTCTTAGCCGGCGTAGGACTAACCACATTACTGCGCCCACCTAGCCTCTCCTTCCTCTTCTCTTCCCCGCCATTCATACCCGCCATCTTACTCGCACCGCCTGTCATGAAGTCACCATAGGCGCTCTCTGCATATAACGCAGGCGTCGTAGTGCCGCTGGGTAACCACTCGCTGCCTTCTTCCCATGCGATACCAGCAGCGTTCGCTGCGCGCACGCCTTCAATGTAGGCTTCCATCCTGCTGCGCTCATCGTCGTTCTCGAGGCCACAGCCACATCCGCAACCGACTACACATTCACCGTCGTCCATGCCGATCTCGTCGTCCATGCACTCCATGTGTGCGACGTGTCCGCATGAAGGGCAGAGGTGGAAAAGACCGGAGACGCGGATCCAGCAGATACTGCAACTGTACACGGGGTCCAATTTGGTGGGCTTGGATGATGTAGTGGTGATATTGGTGCGCGAGCGTCCGTCACGCCATGATGAACCGGCTGAGACGGTTGATGTGCCTCGTGAGAGGCTGGGTCGGCTCGCTCTGCTGGGTGGGGGTTGTAGTCGATTCTGTCCAGGCGACGTGTCTAGGCCGGCAACGCTCTCGTCTAGCTCCTTCGTTGGGGTTGGGACGGGTATTGAAAGTTGAAGATACTGCTCTGTTGGAATGAGTGTGCTGAAAGACGATAGACCCTCTTCTGATATACCGCCAGATATCGTTCCAGGTTGGAACTCCATTGCTTCGGGGTTAAAGGAGAAGTGGTGAGGTGGTGCGCCCGGTGTGCGCTTCATCTGCGATGTGGTGGGTGTTGGCGGAACTAGTGTTGATGAAGCTCGAGATAGATGTCTTGATGTCTTTTCATCGCCGCTTTCGTCGGCGGATGTCTTTAGTGCGAGCGATACTGAGCCATGTTTGAGACCGGTACGAGGAGCTTCAGCTGGGAAGTATGACACAAGGCCATTGAACTTTAGTACTTCGGCCCGTATGCTGATCAAACCCCAGCGGCTCAGCATCTCAGCATACTGCTCGCGCCAAGCCCGATGTAACCAGTCTTTACTTGTGTCTAGTAGTGGCCTACTGAAACATGCCTCATCATCGAACTGATCTTGATTCTTGAGCGTGACCTTGATGCCTCCTCTGTTACTGACACCATCTCTAGGTTTGTCAGACGGGCCACTTTCTTTTGAGTTCGCTAGTCTGTCGCCACCGTCATCCTCGACTCTCTCGTAGTCAGAATCTGAATCCTCTATGTAGTTGACATTGACTTGCTCTGACTGTCCGAAGCTTGCTCGCTTGCCGTGCTTTGAGCGTGAGGTTGAGAGATTGTTTTGATCATGGGAGTCGCTTCCATAGAATGTGGTTGTGCCCCAAGTAACACCACTGGTGGGTGCTGAAGTTGAGAGATCGTCCATGCGTGACCTCACTGGAGGTGAAGAGGACATTGCGTTTGCAAAAGGACGCGACAATGCGGCAACAGCACTTGCGAAATTTGCAGCGGAGCTTTTTTTATGCGCCGTGTGACTTTGCTCTGGCGATGTTCCGTATGGTGTGTGATTAGCCGTCTGCGCACTCCTCATTGTAGACGCCCTGGACAAGGCGGGAGGCGTGTTACCAGTAGAGTATGGCGTAACAGATTCGGAGCTGACATGGTCGCTACCCCACGGGCCATTTGAGCTTCCATGACTGCCGTACGTATCGAAATTCTTGGCCAGTCTTTGCCAAGCAAACT